CGAATGGGCTCTAACTGCGTATGATTATAAGTGATTTATGGCTTTTAAAAGAGTTCCTAAACATTTTAATGGACCATAGCGGGCCGAATTTATGTGAACTTTAATTTACTCATTTAACACATTTCTGCCACAAGTAATTGAAGTTATTGTAAACACGTGGGTTTCCTGAAATAAAGACAACAGTTTTCTCTCTCTGCCTCGATCGTTAAAAGTGTAAGTTTTGAAAATAATGATCGAAGATTTCTGATATTCAAAATTGGATGTAATCATCTTCGTGGTTTTGTCGATTCCGGAAGTTAATGGCGCCAACGGCGTCACGCTCCTCAGGATGCGGCAATTCCACAAATATTTTGCAGAATTCATAGACGTGCCGACGCTGTGCACCCCCGAAAAGCATCGCTCATTCTTAAAGATTTACCGGGTTTCATCTCGAATTCCTGGTGTACAATTACCTCTGCAATTTACTAAGGGGAGTACAGATTTAGACGCAGCTAATTTGATGTCAAGGTGTATTTAAAGATCGCGCAATTCCTTCTGTTTATTACCATTAATTATGTTTAATATCGCTTGATTATTTTTTATTTGGAATTAAGAAGTTATTGATGTTTGTTTTGAATGAGCGAGGATGAAGAATGCCGGTATTCATTGGGTTAACAAGCGGCGCCAAACCCTGTGTCGGTCTGTTGGGCGCGCATTTTTGGTGGACCCATGCACATGTGTAGGGTGTAAACTTACAGGGGATCTTAATCACGCGTGTCCCGATCGGCCCGGCCCCTTTCCGTTCCCATAATAACCCCAGAAATTGTTCATCAACCAACGGAGAAGGTGTTAATATTTGAGCATCAAATTGTGGCGGGGCAAAAAACGAACGTAACTAAACATGAGGAGATTCGTTAAGACGCCGGCAAAGAATGCGGACCATTTATTTTAATTGTGTGAGTTATTGGAGCTGCATTAAAAAATATGGAGAAAGGAAACGTTTAATATAATGAGGAGAGCGGTAAATATTGTGAAATTCAAAACACGTTTTATACATGCATCACTCTTAAAGTGACTTAAGTATATTTGTGAATTACTAAGAACTTAAAAATGTTAAATACTTCGCATAGTGTTTGTAATCTGTTTGTAACCGAACTAATCGAGGTTTTAAACCTTAAAAAAAAAATAACAGCACAAACACAAATTTGTGTACTATTTTTAATTTGATCAATTCAAATTTAGTTTTTTTTAAATTTCAAATTGTACTGCGGTTGATCGAAGCCGCACTATTAGAGTTTTATGTTTATATATTATATTAATTAAGAATGTGCTATGCTTTTGCAGCCCAATAAATAAGTTCTATTAGAGTTTAATCATTATTTAAATAAATACTCTAATTTTAAATAAAACTTGATTTCAGTATAAACAAATTTAGTATTGATGATGTTAGAAAGTAAATAATTTAATTATATTTGTTTACTTGTCAACATTCTACAATTGTATTCTAATTTGTATCTTTAAGAAATTACCACTAATGATATACAGTGTCGAATGAGGGCCATAGGATGCGCCAAATCTATTGGAAGATCTTTTACATTTATTTGTCTAGCTTTACCACCACTTAAACAGGATTTCAAAAGAGGAAGCAAATCCACAAACTCTGTCAACAATCGTATACAAATTATGTCGTATTGGGATCCACTTAAGTGAAAATATGTAAGAACATTGTAAAGAGTACCAATGTTGATATAGAGACATTGAAAGTGTCGCATCGAGTTTGCAAAGTAATATTGAGTGGAATGGTCCAATGAATATTAAAATGTGATGTAATGTCCTATGGACGGATGAAAGCAAAGTTGGAAGCGATGGTAAACGTTAGGTAAGACGCCAAAAATGCAGAGTGCAACACTAAAAACACTACAAAAACATTTAAACATTGACGGGTAAGAATTATTTTATAAGGATGCTTCTCAAGGTATGGTGTGGCGGTGGCAATCGCAAGCCCGACAACCGAAATACCGTCAATCAAATTCCCGAAATCCCGACGTTTGAAATGCTAACTGTATCAAAATCCCGACAACCATAATCCCGACTGTATCAAAATCCCGACTGTATCAAAATCCCGTCTATATTAAAATCCCGATAACCATAATCCCAACTGTATCAAAATACCGACTATATTAAAATCCCGACAACCATAATGCCGACTGTATCAAAATACCGACTATATTAAAATCCCAACAAACATAATCCCGAAAAAATCAAATACATTAATAATAATTTATTGCTATTAATAATAAAAGTGTAGCACAAGGTGACTACGCTCTGAAATAATTTAAAAATGTTATTGTAATTTTTTTTGATATAGTCGGAATTTTGACATAGTCAAAATTATGTTTGTCGAGATTTGGAACGTCGGGATTTCGATACAGTCGGGGTTTCAAACGTCGAGATTTCAAAAGACTTCTGTTTTGGATCGAAAAAACGATGCACATATTTGTTATGATAAAATATTCAGAAAGCCTAGTATTCTATACCGCTGGCTACATGCGGGTCCCTAGTCAAGTCAATGCCATGAAGGTACCAATCTGTGTTGAAAAACAATAGATATTCAATGAAATATTAATAACACAATCATTTTTACCTGTATTTAATGGAATTTTAAATAATTTTTGAAGTGTTCTTATTTTATTGTCCTCTGCAAATGTGAGTTTGTTTACAATTTTTGATATCCTTATCAAAAATGATTTTTTTAAATTTTAAATAAATTAAACCTATTGAATAAACAATTAAACGTATGTAACATTTATATTTTTCATTAGTTTACTTAACACGAATTTTCAGGGTTTTGTTTGTACCAATGACTGTTCTTATTTTGTCCGACAATGTATCGAGTGGTAATAAATAATTTTATAATGCTGTGTCCACACTATGTGTTTTTTGAGACATTAATAGGCAACAGTCGTAGCAACTGTTGTCAAATATTGCAATTATTCACTGTGCTTCTATATTGTATTTGGTATATTAGTTAGGATGTAAATAGTTCAATAATATTTGTCTTGTATTGATACAACTTTTAATTTATTGGTTTAAAACATCTCCATTAATTAAAATATTAAAAATATTAATTTTTACACTTTCTTTAGTATACTAAAAATCTCATACCAATAAATAAATAATACGTCTTTTCTATATAATCAAACGTATTTTTTTTATAATTAAATAAGTTTATATGTGAATATAATTGTTAAATACAGAAACTAAAGTTTTGTAAATGAAATTAAAAATAATCCTTAATGTTTTTATTTAATAATGTTATTTTTGTCGCTTTTAATATCTTTCAATTGGGTCTATATCGCAAACCCGACAACCGTCTATTGAAATGCCGACGTTCGAAATCCCGACTGTATTAAAATTCCCGACGCTTGAAATCCCGACTATGTCAAAATCCCGACTACCATAATCAAAACAATATCGAAATCCCGACTACCATAATCCCAACAATATCGAAATCCTGACTACCATAATCCCAATAAAAATCCCGACTACCATAATCCCAACAATATCGAAATCCCGACTACCATAATCCCAACAATATCGAAATCCCGACTACCATAAAACTGTTATTGTAGAAATTTATAATAATAAAAGACACTGTCGGAATTTCGATAGACGGTTTCGAAATCCCGGTTGTCGGGCTTGCGATTGCCACCGCTTTAAATTATGTATGTATCTATGACGATAAAGGAAAGACAATGATTGCATATTGAATATTAGGTTACTAAATTTAAAAAAAATAAATTTATTATATTTATTGAAACGATATAAATTTCAGTCTAGTAGTCAAATTACATTATTTTTTATCGTAAAAAAATTACTCTCCATACAAATGATATCTAACCACGAACGACGCAAATTTTGAGCATCCATTTTCATTATTTTACATACTGTACATGTATAAAGATATAAAATAATTCTCTATATAAACTAACAATAAAAAGAAATAAACAAGGATAATATCACATAAGTTGGATCACGCGTGTTTTATGTTGTATCCTATCCTATCCAATATTTGAGCGTACTAAGTAAGTAATACTCGTCTATTTAAAATAAAAAAGCACCGATTAAGTCATTCTTATATGGTCCAGTTGTCTGCACGTTCAATAACAGCATTTTGAAGGCACGGTTTTGGCATGTGCAATTGAGTCAATGGAAATACCGGGCTCTTCGATTCTGCCTACGTCCGTCGCTTCAAGATCGGTCGAACGTGCCATCAGCGCCGATTCCACGTCTCCTTCGTAAACCTTCAAAGATTTCACGGAGGAATCGCTTGATAATCGAATTAGATCCCTGCTGATCGTTTCGAAGACTTGACCTATTCCCTAATAACAGAAAGATGAAATGTCAAATGTCACGATGAATGCTGTACCTAATACCTGATCTTCTTTCGCCGAGCATTCGAAGTACTGAGCGCCTATTGAGTTGGCGTACTGAAGAGCCTCTTCCCGGGACACCTGAAACAGGAAATTATTGAATTTGTTCCAGATTAGGTATGGTTTCATTACCACTCGATTCTCGCTTAAATCTATTTTATTTCCAATCACGCAGAGCACCATCGGCTCCACCACGTTTCCTTTCAACTGTTGCGCCCAAGTTTGCATGTTCCCGAATGAATCTAAACAGGTAATATCAAACACTAAAAGTGCAGCGTTCGCATTTCGATAGAACATCGGAGTCATAGCTTTGAAACGCTCTTGTCCAGCCGTATCCCAAATCTATATATAAAAAAAAATGTAGTAATAATTAAATAATTAAACCTAATTTCTAATAAACTAATTAATACAATTCCCAATGTATATATTTAGATGAAACTCGCCTGCAGCCTAACAATGGCATTGTCGATGTTAGTTTTGCACGTAAAAAACGAAGCTCCGATTGTTGATGAGATGTTCAAGTTGAAAGCTTTCTGCGTGTATCTGGTAATCAAGCTTGTCTTCCCAACGCCTGCAAAGAAAGATGATTGTCGATCTATTTTTTACTTATTTCTAATTATTAATTAAATAAAACGTAACTTTATTGGTGACATAGCCTTGAACTACAACAAATAAACAATAGTTCTTTCATGACTTGCATTTAAAAATAAGTTATTCTCAAATCCTATTGTTTTTAACTGATATAAACAATTTACTATTAAAAATAATAATAAAAAACAAGTTTCAGCAATAATCATTATAGATAAATCATAAATGATTCAGTTCTAGTAAACATCAGTAAATAAGGAAACTAATGGTTGTAGGTAAACTTTGTAAATAAATAGAGATTTGTAAATTAATTTAATCAACACTGCTATTAATAAAACAAAAATATTATTGTATCATTGCAATGCTAAGAAAACAGGAAACTCCAATATCATTAAAACTTGTAAGTCAAGAAACATTGGGTTTTTACCATAAAGTGATTAATGCATAAAAAATACGAATTTATACTGCAATTCATGGCAAAACAAGTCGCAGTTTGCAAACTCACCTCCGTCTCCCAAAATCACCAACTTTCCAACGATTGTTTTCATGATACCGTTTGCCATACATTCAAATGTGCGGAACAAACCTGGCTTTGAATAACAAACAAACTGGACATGTGTGATCAACGCACACGACAATCGCCTCGTTACTAAACACGGATCATATGTGTTTTGACAATGGCTCGTGTTTATGTTTGAACTGTCAGAATAACAGATGGACACTAGTTTATCGGCGCGTCGTGTTAATGCAAGGCGATGTCTGTAGATGGCAGGATATCATTCCTTCTTCCTCGTCACTAGTCTGAGCACGGAAATACCGTCAATCAAATTCCCGACGTTTGAAATGCCGACTGTATCAAAATCCCGACTGTATCGAAATCCCGACAATCATAATCCCGACTGTATCAAAATCCCGACTAAATTAAAATCCCGACAACTATAATCCCGATTGTATCAAAATCCCGACTATATCGAAAATTTTTATAATAACATTTTTAAATTATTTCGGAGCGTATTATAAAGTGTAATAATTAACTACATACAACTAATACATTTATTATTACATAATTGTTTACTGTTTGTTATATATGTGAAAATATAACAAATATACCTATCTTTTCGACTATAAGACGCAACTTTTTTTTCATAGAAGAATGGACTAAAATTTTTTGCGTCTTATGGTTCGATGGTAAAATTAAAATATTTTTTTCAATAAATTATCTCTAAATTTGAAAATAAAACAAAAAGACTTTCATATAACGTGAGGTATAAACTAAATGTGATCAATTATCAAAACAATATGGAAACAGAG